TCAAAAAAAAAAAAAAAAAAAAAAATAAGAATTAGAAGAAAAGTATAAAGAAAATTTAGATAATTACATAAAATATTTATATATTTTCCGGAAGTGAAAGGCCTTTCTAAGTGTTATTTTCCCTCTCTCTACAGGAAAAGACCACAAATAAAAATACCAATAATTTCAAATAAAATTTAAAGACAAGTGCATGTCAAAAAGAAAATGTAATTTATCCAAAGGCCAAATTAATAGAAAAATATATTTGTACCAAACTTACTATACTTAACATATTCATAAAGAACACCTTGAGGTTAAGAAATAATAAATTAGATTAAAGGATATACATACACAGGCAATTCATAAAGGAAGAAATGTAAATATCCAATAAATATATGAAAACATGTTCAATGGCATAAGTAATAAAAAGGTGCATAATACACTACTGTATACTTTCACCAGAGATTTTTAAGATAATCGTAACTGGTATAGAACCACAATTCTGCAATACATGCACACACACACATGTTCAAAGGACTTAAAATTTTATACAACTTAAATCCAGAAAGTCTAGCTTGAGGAATTTATTCTAACAGGGGCAATAATTTAGCCACACTGAAAACTCATTTATAATTAGAAATAATCTAACTATCCAAGATGATACTGGTTAAATGGGTCAGAGATCTAAATGTAAAAAGTGAAACCATACATTAACTAGAAGAAAACAGGAATAAATTCCTTTATAATCCAAAATAGCAAAAGCTATGATTGAAAATACAGAAGGAGTTAAACACTGATAGTCAACATCATTTAGTAAAACCAAAGCTTTCACTTGACAGATGACCATAGGTTTTATGATGACCATAAATAAAGGATAAAGGAAAGGAGACAATTACAATATGTCACAAATAACCCTTCTCCCCAGTATGCAAAGAGCTATTAAAGACAAAAAAACCAACAATCCAACAGAAATATGGGTAAAAACAAGAAGCTCACAGAAAAAAAGATATAAATAGTGCTTAACTATTAACCATGTAGACACATACTTCATTAGATCCACAATATGAAAAATAAAATTTAAAACTTCACAGAAATATTCTATTTCACTTATCAGACGGGCAAAAATTCAGAAGACTGACAGTGTTGGCAAGCCTGTGAAGAACAAGAAACTCTTGTGCACTGCTGGTGGAGGGGAATTTGGCAACAGATAAAAATATCATATGCCCCAGTTCTGAGAATTCAGCCTTAAAAGATACCTCAACAAATACAAAGGAAAAAAATAAGAACAAGGCTATTTATAATAGCATCATTCATAACAGCAAAAGGCTGGAAACTAAATGCTCATCCTTGGGAGAGAGATTAAATGAACTATGGAACATCTACGTATCAGAGTACTATACAGCCCTAAAGAAGAACAGTGAAGATCTCAGTGACTTAATATGGAGAGACCTCTACAATATAGTATTAAATAAAAAGAACAAGATACAGAAAGAGCATCTTTTGTGTAAAAAGAAATGAGAATGTGCATGTGTCTTTTCCACACATACCACATACACATACACACACAAAGATGCTTACTTCTGTAAAAATAAACACAGGAAGAATAAATCAGAAATGAATGAATCCGCAAAAAGGTGAAGAATGGATGGAAAAGAGTGGGATTAAACCAAGACTTTGAATTTACCAATGTATATAATTTTGATTTCAAATAATGTAAATATTTTACATACTTAAAATTAAATCACAAGTTGAGGGAAAAAAAGCAAACCCTAAAAATGAATATAAACAGATACAAATGAAAGCATGAGACATGGAAAAAAAGAATCAATTCTAGAAATATGAGAACAGAATAGCCTCAATATTCTTAATGGGATATTCCAAGTTAAAAAAAAAGACACAAACTTAAACTTTACTTAGTGGTTGCAGTGGTATGTGTACGGTAATTCTGAAACTATTTTCTATAAAATATGAGAGACCAAATGAGCAAAAACCTATCAATGTTTTTGGAAACCTGGGTTCTCACTATAGAAGAAGTAAAATACTAATTTGGAAGGGGGAAGGTCAGAAGGAAACCCATGGTGTTGGATTTGAACCAAAGATATTGGTATGAACTCATGATTTTCTAAAAAACGTATTTCCTAGCCAAATCCCACCACTGTTTTTATACAGCCTGCAAGTTGTTTACATTTTTACAAGTAATATGTAAAAAAGACTATTATCTTTTAGTTGAGAACAGATACTCAAAATGGTGAGGACTCTGCCTCTTGTCCTACAAACCCTAAAAGATTTATTATCTGTGCAAAGTGTACCCTTGACTAGACTCTAATACTGTTAGACACTTCTAAGGTAAAAACTGAAGAAATTAAATGGATGTCATGCTTCATTTAATCTCAGTGATTAAGTAACTATTAACTGGTTGGTTGTGATGTCAATACAACACACATAAATATACAAACCACTCTTCACACACACACAAAGCCTCAGAAATGGGAGAGTTTGCAGACCTCAAGGATCACACAAATCCTTCCAAGTACTAATTCTCTCCTGGCTTACCTTGGTTGTATTTTCACCATTTCTTTCATACCGATTCCGCTGTTGAATTTTCTCAGCAATCTCTTGTGCAATTTGGCAAGTAGAATCGTATGTGGAGAACCTGTATCAGAGTCACAAGGGGAGAAAAATGTTTAAGGTCCTTTTAAAGAATTTTCTGCATTATCTAAGTTTTGAGTTTTTAATTCTAGTCACAAATTCAAACAGGAAGGGAGGATAGTAACAGTAATAGTAACATGCTGAATGGTACTGTGAGCCAGACTTTATTCTGAATGCTTCATTTGTAATAACTCACTTAATCCACCCAAAAACGCTAGGAAGGGAGTGCTGTCACCATGTCCATTTCACATGGGAGGAAACCAGGCACAAACGTTGAGCCATTTGCCCAAGTGGTACCATCAGCTGCAAACCAAGGCTGTCTGGCCCTGAGCCTTTGCTCCTAACCACTCTGCCACTCATAACACGTTTGTATTCACTTATTCATAAAACATTCAACAAACAGTTACGAAGGTCCTCCTCTGTAGTGAGCCCTATTCTAGGCCCTGGAGGATATAGCAGTGAACAAAAGTCCCTGCTTCCAAGGAGCTTAGTGAAGGGACAAAGGCATAAAGCAAATACATAGCGTTGATACGGGCTAAGAAGAAAAATAAAGCAGGATAATGGGACAGAAGGTGCCAGGCAAGGTGAGGAAGCCAGCCCCATAGATATCTGGTGAAGAGCTTTATAGGACAGGAACAGCACGTACTTTACATCCTACAACAAAGGCTCTGGTGACAAAGGACACACACCCACGAGGCAGGTAAGCTCACCAGAATTCTCTCAAAACAGTTACTGAGATTCTGTTTGTTATTCAGCAGCACTGGGGGCTCTGAAGGATTCACACCAAATCCCCAGCAGTCCCTCCTTTTTTCCTTTTGTGACGGACTTTTTACTTTCTATTTGTTTTATAGAAAATACTTAATTGTGCATACACATTTCACCTCTCCTATCTGATGGTCTGCTCCTAAAGCACAGGGACCTAGCCGTATGATACAACAAATGTATTTTCCAGGACTGCCCCAGTACAAAATATTGAAAAGTGCTGTTTGACCTTATGTCCCAATTTTTTGCTTGAAAAAATGAACAATCCATTTCTTAAAATCTTATTCCCACATATCACGTGTACATTGACAAAACTTGGCAAATACACTTTTTGAATGAAGGAAAAACAATCCTCAATTGCTTCCTTTAGGATACTCACTATAGTCATTATAGCAATGGCTGACAACTGAGAACCTGATCTGGGCCAGGTTCTACACTAAGAGTTTTACATTTTAAACTTCACAAGGATCCCGTGAGGCAGGATCTTCAACAACTCACCACTACACTCAAAAGTAACATCATTCGCATGTATGTATATATTTGTGTGTGTATGTATGTGCGAATCACACACATATATAAAACAAGAGCAGGTATGCAATACATAATTAAGAGAACAGGAGGTAAGCTGACAAGGAAAACTGGATCCTGGTACCAGCTTTGCCACATTTCCCCTTTCTTCCTTCCATATTGTCATCTATGAAAGGAGATGCTCAAGTCTGGCTCTGTGGTTCCAGACCATACCTATGCAAATCAATAATAAGGTACAATACACTTCCTGCCAAGTGTGGAGTATAAATGGTAAATACTTTCGGAGTTTGGATGTGAGAGAAATTACCATTGGCCGAGGCACTCAGATCTGACAAGGCTGCATGCAGGGGTTAGTTACATCTTGGGCTGAACCATAAGGTTAAAGCAGACCTCTCATTCCCACAGGAAGGAGGAGCAAATTCTATACTCGGCAGAGGCACAGGGAGCCAGCAAAACTGAAAGGAAGATGCCTTGCACATTTGACTGGTGCCCAGAGCAGAAGCATAAGGTAAAAGACAATAGGGATGAATGGAAGCTGGTGCTGCAGAGCGTTCGACATGAGAATAACGTTAGGCTTTTAAAAGAGAATTTTAGAGCTGTATGGGATATTTTATACATACACAAAGTGAGGCCTTGGTGAGGTTATATGAAGTATTGAAGGCCAAAATCCAGATGTCTTACCCGATCCTCATGTTCTCACTTTAGCCCTAAAGAACAGTGGTTCTGAAGCTTTGCTATACATTGGGATCGCTGGAGAATCCTTAAAAAACAAAACAAAACAAAACATAAAACAAGTCTTGGCTCCCACCCCCAAGCACTCTTGACTGAACTGGTACGGGGTTTGCCCTGGACGTGAGTTGTGTGAGCTCCCCAGGTGTTTCCAGTCTGTAGCAAAGTCTGACAACCACTGGCCTAGTGGTAATGGGCAACCTCATCGTCGTATCACACAGCGCCGAAAGTACTAATTCAGGAAAATTAACGTGAATTCCATTTACCTAAATAGTTGGGAATGAGAGTAGAGTGGCAGGGAACTAGTAGAAGACTTGTACAGCTGTTCAATTCCATAACTAGTCACCAGTATTTACTATCTGCAAGTCAGAAGGCCAAAAGGATGGGACTATAGCAGAAAAAAACAGCATAAATGAGACATTAAGGGTATTCAAAATAAAAAAACAAACAAAATTAGTGAATAATCTGATGTGAGGAGTGAAGAAAGAGTGGATTATTAGAGTTTTCAGGCCTGCAAGACAAAGAGGATGGTGATGCCATGACAGAAACCCAGAAACTAGAAAGGGGAGCAGAAAATAAGCGTCCAGACTATGAACTGGGTCTCTGTTTGATCACAAAAACACTGGCTGTACATTAAATTGACATATATGTATATATAAGATTTACATTAAAAATACACTTAAAAAGATGTAGAAGGCAGAGTGGAAACAAGAATGGCAGAATATTGAACATTATGGAAATTGGGTGATGAGTATAAAAGGGCCTATTATACTAATCCACTTGGTATTTTCTTACATTCCATAATACATACTTTATAAAATAAATAGACCTCCCCCCTCAAAAAGCCCAACTGGAATAGAAAACTGTTAAGGTTTAATTTATTAAATTTTTCCAGAAATTGTCCATCAACAAATAAGTTGTCCTAGCAGTAAAGCTAATTAACTTTAGCAAAGAATCAGACAGTAAGCACTTGCTATTTCTATAAAAAGTGAGCTGACCACTTACTTTGATAAGCTATTAAAACAGTAACTGCTATATTCCATTTCTAAACATCAGAGCACTAATAAGCATCATTGACCTATGATTTTCAATAGAATGAAGGCAAAGCTGTAGTCCAGTCTGTTTTTTATAGGTTTCCCAAAGTCTCAGTCCATACTCTTTTTTACCTTCCTGACCACCAACTGATTAGGCAAGTTCGTAGATGCTAGCGTAGCAGATGTGCACACTGTTTCACTTTCAACAGTCAAAGAGAAAAACAGTGAGTCAAACTACTTGAGAGTTAACAGGAATAATTATAAATGCTTGTTCAGCATTAACTTTGGAAGAGGCTTGGGGTCCAGGGGTAGCTTCCACCAGTGTAAACGAATAGCCTGGTACCTCCCCCTTACCTCTGAGCTTTATTTCCTACCTCCTGTGTAAAGGGAGGGAGTTAGCTTCCAGGAGGTGGAGGGCAACTTAGCAAGGGCCTTAAAAATGTTCATAAGCTTGGACCCCAAATTCCACTTCTAGGAAGTGAGCCAAAGAAATAAGGTATGAAACAAAGGGGCAGTCTTTGCAACAGTTAAAAAACAAACAAAAATACCCTAATATTACAAGAGGTATAAAGAGGGGAATAATTTAAAAAATTATGGCCGTTCGTATGATGCACTACTATGCACCATAAAAAATCATGTTGTCAGGAAATGATTTGGAAGGTTTACTGTTTTGTAAAGCATATATATGCATATATACAGACATATTATATAAAGCAATAAATTCATTAAAAACCAGTAGTGGTAATTATTCCAAATGATAGCATTAAAGATGGGTTTTTCTTCCCTCTCCAAATATTCAGTATTTTCTAAATTTTCTATCCATGTGTATAGATTGTTAAAATTATGTAGGAAAAAATTCGTGTTAAACCAATTAAGCCATTGACCCAGGTTAACCTAGATCCTCGGACAGTGCTAACTTCGACCCTGCAATCCATTCTCATACGCATACTGTCTGCAAGTTAAAAAATTATAAATTATATTAAAAACACCAACATAAGACATACACTCCAACAAGAACTTTATAAAACTGTTATATGTTTCCAATTACTAAACAAAAATCTCAAGATTGATATAGGATAACAATAGGTTCCCCGGGATCAGAACTTGTGTATTTCATCATTACTCCTTGGCACTTAATTTTTTAATAAATGACCCTTCTGGCAGTTATTGTTTTACTGCATAAATTGCTTCCCTAGAAAGAATCATGATACTCAGTTAACGATAAAAAGCCTTATTTAAAAATGCGTAATTTCTCTGCCAAAGTCCTACAACTTTTTTGAAGGGTCAACAAGATCCTAGGTCCTAGAGCCAACTGGTTACTAACGGGCTTGCTTGACCATGAATTCTCAACTTCGTTTTCTCCACCAGTGAAATAACGGGTTCACCAGATAGGCTGGCGGCATTCCACAAAAAGGTTACTTGTTTTCACAGGAGTCCAGGGAAGCCTGCCCCAGCCAGCTGCACAAGCAGGATGGGCGGGAAATCACCGCGGCGAGATGCAGCCGATATGGGCTGGAGAAATGTTCAGAGATTCGCCACTTAGCCTCCGCTTCCCGGGAACACACTGTCCTTCCCAGGCCACACCTGCAAGCACCCAAGGGATGCGGCAAGGTCCCCCTCAGCAGGGAAAGGGTCTTCGCCGTTCTTCCCTTCATTCCGAAAATCCTCTAGCCCCAAAACCTAGCATTCGCCCAGTCCCAGGAAGCCCGGCCTCCCCGAAGGGCTCTCCGAGCGCGGCGGCCCTCACCCGGGGCTCCCCAGGGATCCGGGGCCATCGTGCAGTCTCCGCCCACTCCCCGGACACTTCCTGCTCGCGGCAGCTGACTACGGCAGCCCGCGAGGCTCACACTCCACTCTTAGACCCGTGAGCGACCGGAACCTGGAGTTTGCAAAGTAAATATACACTAAGGCCTCAAAACTGTGATAAAGAAAGGAAACCGGACCCCCATGGAACATTAAGTTGCAGCAGTCTGCTCCCACTAAGAGATGGGAACAGCTGGGCGCAGTGAAAAGAAAACGGTTGTTGAACAAAATCTAAGCATTTTCCTAGGAAAGTGGGAGCATCTCAAGATGCTTAAAATTTGCCAAATTTTACTTGTTACTCTAGCAGTTAAAGTTTTATCCTGCTTAAAACTGAAAGAAAAACAAAAAAGTGGACTGTAGAGATACACAACTGTATGGATCTACCAAAACTCACTTAAATGAATCTTGATATGTACATTATACCTCAATAAAGCTTTAAAAAATTCGGCTGCAAACGGAGACCCAAAGAAGTAAGCTATATATTATTTTCCAGCAGCCTTCCCCTAAGTGCCATTAGGTGCTTGATTATATAGTTACCAAAAAGGTCACGGACTCTTTACATACAGGAGGGAATTTATTCTGTGCATTTAGCGCCTGTTAAATTTTCAGAGAAATAGGAAGGAAAAAGCCCTCTGCATTTGTTGAACGAAAACTCCGAATTCCGCAGGCTAGGTTACAGCGCACGCGTGAAGCTGGCGCGCGTGCGCAAACCGTTACCATAACGACCTAAAGACGCTGCACGGGAGGCTGAGGAAAATGAACTGAGTCTCCGGGAGATGGAGAAACGAATTTCGCCCGATGCAGACGTGGCCGATCTGGAGCTAGAGGCCGTCATCGGCTTCAATGGTGAGGCTTCGAACAGAACCCCGGGATCTTGTGACACAATCAGGAGCAGTAAGACACCGGGTGCCACCTGGAAGGCAGTGTGGGACACTGGCATGAGCACAGGCTAGGGCCAAGCACAGGGGGCGCAGACAGCCTCTCCAGGACAAAGTCTCAGAGTCACCTCCTCGCTCCGAGCCTCAAGGAGTGGGACGGTTTTTGCCAGCACCTAAAAGGAGCCAAATGCCTCTCCTCTCAGGGCTGGAAGGATGAATACGGAAGGTTGTGGCCCTTATCCCACTAGGTCAGCTCTCCCGTCGCTCTATTTCCTTCGCAGCTCTCAAATCTTCCCGCCCCTTCCAAACCACTAGGTTATGGAGTCTGTATCTGCCGCTGGGACCAACTAACTTCCAAAATACCAGTTGACGTATCAGTGAGAAAGGGCAGGGGAAGGAACGTGTATTTGAGCAACCGTTTGAGAAGGTCTTGTCCTCTAACGCGAAGAAAGGATTCTAACCGTCGATTTCAGGCGACGATAGGAGGCGAAGGGGACGCCAGGGGTAGCTGGAGGGGAAAGATGCTTTGGTCAGAGGAGGTCTGGTTGGTCTGCTCAAATCTTATTTATGCTGCGCATTTGAACATCAAGGGGGAAAAAGGCTATTTTGTTTTGTTTTTGTTTTTGTTTTTTGAGAAGAATGAAAACAGGCATTTCGGTATTTTAGAAAGAGCAAACTTTTTAAAAAGTTCATTGTGATTCCTGAAAGCTATAAAATTTTAATAATGTATATGTCGATTAATCAATGACTAAAAATGCTTTAAGCACATTCTGGGACTTAGGTCTTGACGCTTTGTTTACTTTAGTAGTCTCTAATAGAAAGTGGGCACTTAGTACAACTGAGATGTTAGCCATCTTTAGAGCTGTTTACCACACCATTGGTAAAGGAAGTGAGTGACTGACAGTGAGTGCAAAGGGGGCACACTGGTTACCAGTGTGAAACCTCAAACAGCTCTGCAACTGCACTCATGCTGTTTTGTAGAGCTCCTAGAGTAAATATATGGTATACTGTATCGTGATGTGTTCCATGGCGATTATTAATGATCTTGATCTTTTAAAATGTTCCAAATGAATTGAACTGTTTATACTTTGTTGGTTTTGCGACAATTGATATTCTTTCATATAGTCAAATATACAGTTATACGTACATGCTCAATACTTAACTATGCACTGAGAATACAGGGGTAACTACATACATAGGAAGGGGAGTATAGAAAATTGGAAAAATACAGTGAAACCAAAAGAAAAATCAGCCATTGTTCCATTCCCCAAATATATCACTATTAAACTTTTGGTGTGATCGTTTCAACTATGTATTTACATATAAATATTTCTTATTAAAGTATCATTGAGATACAGTCTTATGAAGGTTTCACATGAACAACATTGTGGTTTCAACATTTACCCATATTATCGAATCCACCCCACCCCATTGCAGTCACTGTCTATCAGTGTACTAAGATGCTATAGAGTCATTACTTCTCTGTGCTGTACTGCCTTCCCAAGACCTACCCATATTGTGATTGTCAATTATATTGCCCCTTAAT